CAAACTGTTTTTGTACACCATGCAACCTCCATGCAGTCTTTTTTTTTGTTTTGTTTTTTGGGTGGACATTCACATTTAACTTCTGATTTCGATCTAACAAAACTCATATTGGTTACCTTTGATTGCAATGAGCATAGCAACAGTGTATTCCAATAGTTCCGTGACATTGTTTTAGCTATACACGTCTTGCAACTTTTGCAAATTTTTCTTGCAACTTTTGCTATTTTCAAATGCAACTTTCTCTGAGGACAGAATACTACTTTAAAATTTTGTTGATCTGACAAAATAGATTTCAATATCGTCAATAGGCCTACATATTAATACTAATGAACGGTATAGCTGATCATGTAGGCACGACGACTCGCACAGCCCCCCCCCCCGCCCTTCCACACAGCCCCTCCCCCTCCCAAAATCATGATTTGGGGTTGCCATGACAATGTGCGTTTTATGTTTGCAAGTGTGCTACGAAATGACTGTCTCAATTAAATCTTGTGGATTTGGAGTGTGACGAGATGACAGTGACGTCTTGACTGCACCGGTGTGCCGAAATGACCGAGTGACGAAATGACTGATATTCCCTGATATAAATACTCATGCCCCCTGTCATATACAAAGAAAGACAAAAATAACTAACTCATTGCCTAGAAATATGGATAAGCTATCACTGTGCCAAATTTCAAGTCTCTAGGGCAATAAATAAGCGAGATTTTAGGATTTTCATGGCATGCTGTCCATGAAAAACACAGTTCAGAGAAAACGGCCATTGAAGTAAAAAATGACCTACTGTGATACTATTAGTAGCCATATGAAACATAATTTCACATACAACATGCTTATCTCACAAAATAATATAGGCCTACCGGATTTGATATCTAGACACATTTAGGTATTCACTTGTGCAAAAACCTCAAAAACAATATTTCGACCCAATTTTCAGCATTAGTCCCACCCGACCGTCCCTTTAATCTAGCCTAAATTGTTGCGGAGAAGTATGATTAAGTTAATACCTGTCCTCAGAGAAATTCGCGCCCGCAACCCGCAAGTTGCGCGCGCAACTTTTGCCATCAGCGCAACTTTTGCGCAACTTTTATCATTTTCGTGAATTCGCGAATTTTAGCCAATTTCCCGCAAATTTTGGGAAAATAATAATAAAATTTCATTAAACACTCCGAAATTTTCTTCCACGACTAAAAGTAACGACGCCAAGGGGGACAATTCGCTCCTTTGCACTATGGGGTGCCCGCCGCCGCCCAGTGACCCGGACCGGGTCAGGTCGGGTCGGGATGATCGCCCGCCCGACTCGTTGCCTGAAAACAACGAGTCGGGCGTGATCGACTTGTGCCACGATAGCTGCTTTGCACCCATCAGGCGAGCAAACCGACCCCACCCAACCCCCCTATATTCTTTTTTGGACTGAATCATCTTCTAGTCTTTCTAGATCTAGTGTAAATCAATCGTAAACACGGTCGTCTGATTACTTGCTTGCTTGGTTTGGTTCCGTAGCACCAGGTAGATAGATCTAGTATAAAAATTTAAGAAAGACTTTAAATCTAAGGCTAGGAGGCTAAACATGATCGATTCATTCAGAAAACCCCTAAAGGGGACGTTCAAATAATATCATCTTGCGCCTCGAAAAAAAAAAAGGGGGGGGGGAGTCTTGGACTCCTGTTAAAGTAAGTGTAAGAAGGAAGGGGGGGGGTTGCTCCAATGTAAGATTACACTTTTGTAAGGTGAAAAATAATCAAGGAAAATATAATTTATGACAAAGAGTAACTACACTATTCACTTAGTGTAAGTTCGAGCTGTAAGCACTGCATTGTGGCGATACAGTGGTCCTCGAGCGGCAAGCACGATATAATATTATGATGATATGTCATTTCGCACTTTATGCTCTGGTAGATATCTGGGCTTCATGACATGTAGATCTAGTCTAATTTTGATTACACCGGTGCAGTAAAAGTGGTAAAATGGCACCTTAAGTTTTTCTGGAAAAGTTCCGCTTGTACCGTATTGAATTATTATGTCACATGTGTGTATGCATGTTTTTCATGAATACTATATTAATAATTTAAAAGTAAAGCGCATAGAAGAGTGATTGTAACACGGATTTGCGCAATATAAATGTCATATTATTATTATAAGCGAATAACGTAATATTACGGGATTTGGGGGGGGGGGGGTGTAAAAAAGTGTAAGATTATACATGTATTTGAACATCCCCAAAACCACGCTGGTCACACCTGCCCAACGTCAGCGAGAGTGCCAGGACCTGACTCATGTGTCAGGGGACACTGTTTTTGTACACCATCAACCTCCATGCAGTTGCTTTTTTTGTAGACATTCTAATTTATCTTCTGATCTTGATCTAACAAAACTCATATTGGTTACTTTTGATAGCAAGGAGCACAGCAACAATGTATTCCAATAGTTCTGTGGCATTGATTTAGCTATATGCGTCTTGCAACTTTTCTTGCAACTTTTGCTAATTTTTGTCGCAACTTTTTGCAACTTTTGCTATTTTCAAATGCAACTTTCTCTGAGTACAAGTTAATACAAATTGATACAAACTGCTATGCAAAGTATGGGTTACATTGATTCACATGTTAAAGAGATATTTGAGGGTAAGTCGCTCCACGAATTTTCACCACACTATAGGTAAATACATGCATCATCATCACAACGCATGAAATCATTTATAGTATTATCATCACTAGAAGAGTATATATCATTGAAACATTCTCAATACCACTTTGATGATCATCCCTGAACCTACCCTTCACTGATGAATTTTGGACTGTCTACTAGGAGAGAGTAAAACATAACTTAACAAGTAAGATACAGTCTACCACTTACTACAAAAAACAAACCTTTTCAAAACTTAGTCGTGACTATAGCTAACACATCACGTTCACAATGTTAGACTGATGAGGATTCATTTTGACTGGATTGAGAAAGAAGACGTTTTTTTAAAAATGGGGTAAATAAACATTAAAATTTTATTGTTACAGAGTGGCATAACTCATCTCAGATGAAATCAGAGAAATCAGAATTTTTCCGCAGGCTTCGCAATTTTTTTTTTTCAAATTGTTTTTTTGTTCAACACCTTTTACATCTGTTGAAAAATACATTTCTGTGAAGATTTCAACGAAAAAAGTTGATAAAAGGTACAAAAATATAAATTATTTCATTCCAAGGTCTCTCAACCTATATAAGACACCAGACTTTAGCAGCCATTGCTCGCTAATTTTACCTCTGAAATCAGGCAACCCCCACCTTCTTCAATAGCAAATGTCTCGACTAGTTTTCAAGATAGATCGGTACTTCTTTTATCACAAGCAAGACAAATGAACAAGCTTTATAATGGTACCAATAACTCAATATGCCCAAAAATTGACGAGCGCCTGATTCCACCACGTCGTAACACATATTTATTTAGAAAGTAATCTAAAGAGTAGAAGTAGATTCTGCAGATCTAATTTTGACCTACATGAGCATATTTTAATAAAGGAGAGGTGCATGAACAGTGGACTTCACAAGTTCCTCTGTACCCTCATTGATTCAGGAAAGAGATTTCACTGGGATATATTATTTCTTAAAACAGCAAGAAATAAAACTCTTTAATATCAAAGGGATCAAAGCAAGGTAAAAATAGAAAAAAGAAAGCTTTTGAAAGTTCAAAAACTTTGATTTCATCTCGATTAGAAGTGAAGAACATTCTTTAGAAAATAAGCAAATAATTTCAAGCAATGAAAAGACTTTTTGTGTAAGATGTTGAATGTGTCTGCTGTTTTAAATCCGTAAAAATGTCATCAGGCACATGTAGAGGATTTTAGATGTTTTACAAAATGATTATTATAGATTATACATATCTACAGCTCAGAGTAAGACTCTGTCATACGTCATTTTTAAAAGGGACAAATGTTGGAGTCTTATAGTGAGCAGTAGATATAAAGTCAAAATTCAAGGAAAAAAATCAATAATTAAGGGGTAGGTAAGACAGTTGGAGGTATGAGACTAAGTCTGCTAGGACCAAATGAGCACTTTCAATCACAAATCTCTTTCACATAAAAAATGTAAGGTCCCAGTACCAGTTCCCATATATATAACCAGAACCAAGTAACCTCTCACTTAAAACTTTGCAGTCACACAGCCAGCAGTATAAAATACCCCATCTGGTCACTCTGCCAGGAGAGTGACTTCAACAAACTTCTCTAGCCAGTTTGCACCAAGTAACCGGAACGGCTATTTTTCACCATTGCATTATTGCACCAAGTGACCGTAAAGTGTTAAACAATGTCTGACCTAAATGATAGTTCACATAATATATTCAAATAAGAAAGTAATATTTTCACTCATAGAAGCAGCCTCAGTCCCCGATATAAAATCAAGTAACACATCTCTCAGAAATAACGTGAAATGCGCTCAGTTTTGTTTACTTTAACTTTGAGCAAGTCCAGAGAGTTAAAGGGACAACTATTTCCTGTAACATTCAGGTGAAAAGGGGTAGGTAAGACAGTTACTGCCACTAATCACACGCTCACCGCACCACTTGAGTAGTGCTTTTATCTCAATTATGACTGGGAAGGAGTTCCAAATCAATGTTCTGCTCTTAAGTAAAATCAAGGTTGAGAAAAAGGCAAGGGTAACAGAGTATAGTCGGGAGAAGAGTCAAATTTGAGGCATATTTCGAGTAAAGTCAAAATCTCTCAGCTCACACCATGATTTGAAATTTAAAAAAACAACCATAGTTGTTACTAAACAAATCAAACCACGAACATAGCACAAATTAAACAAATCAAGCCATGAACGTGGTACAAATTGAACAATCAAGTTATGAACTTCGTATGAAGAGAGTGCATTAAAATTGAAGTGCTTTCTATGCAGTTTAGGTAATAAGATTAAATTAAGCTTAAATATGATCAAATATACAAAAAATTTCATGGAATGGTTGAAAGAGTCAGTTCAAAACAAGAACAAAATCAACAGCTTCAAGGCTCTGTGCATGACCTTGAAAACTTTTTCTACAAGATAAAGTTATGAAGTACGGAATTTAAAAAAAATTTGGTCTGTTTCACTGTTCTAATAAATCAAGGGAAATGGCCAGGATAAATGTCTTGTGTCTGATGACATTTTGTGATAAAATAAAGTACTTTATATTTTCCCATTACTTCAGTTGAAATTTTGAGATATTTTGCAATGGAAACAAGTATTTTATAACTTCCCTTTACCTCAGTAGAACATCAAAGGGATTTTTTTTCCCCCCAAGTGCTTACAAAATGTTGTCAGGATCACGCACAGGACACTCATCGTTCCCCACCGTCTCACAGTTTTGTATCAGTGACAATTTTTCTGGTGTCCTTCCCGCCCAGACCGTGGTGGGAATGCTGCGGCTCAAACAGACCTGGGTGGGCCACCATCCTGCTACTGCTGACCCCACCACCGGCCGAAAAAGACGCACCCCGACTGTGCTTGACCTTTGTCCCCCACACCCCAGCACCATTATTTGCTGCACCCTCCGGCCGCCCCACGAGACAGGACTTGCCACCAGCGTGATGAGAGTCACCTTCGCCTTCCTCCACAGTGAATGGAGAAGCTCCGCCCATCAGACTGGAAGATGTAGACCCCCCTATCTGTGAGCGGGCCACAGCGATGTGAAGACACTGCACCCACTGCTCCACATTGTGGTGACCTTTGGCCTTGAACATGTATGTTTGGTCCTCGGTGAAGATCTCAAAGGCCTTGGGGATGTCCCGGATGCCTTTGCGGATCGCTTTAACACTCTGGATTTTTGTCACAGGGAGAGATGCTTTTGTCTAGGGAGGAAAAAGAAAGCGAAAAACATTAGTGTTAAAGCATAAAATTTATATCCGCTATAGTATAAAAAAATTTACTATGACTTTTACAAAATTAAAAGGTGCAAACATGAAAAATGGTGTACTTGTCCCTGCTTACTGCTGGATTTTCTTCACAGGGAAGGATGTTTTTGTCAAACCACAAGAAAAAATGAACATTTGTTTTTTAATTTACTTGAGCCTGAGCTATTTTACACCCAACAACCATTGCAGCCTGACAGTTTTGGGGTACATTGGATCGTTAACCACAAAAAGACTGAACCCTATCAAAATTTTAAAATGCAACAAAAGAAAGAAATGCTCTCACAGAAAGAGAAAACCGGATCTAATTTGTCCCACAAACAAAATAAAATAAATAAAGTTCAAAAAATGTACCAAAGAATCCATGAGAAACAGAGAACAAGCTCTTGACTTATCAGTTTTTTGGGCAGAAATTTCGTCTCTGACAGGGATGCTCTGGTGTAAGTTCCCTAAACACCCCCATATTGATTGAAAAAACATCCACATGTACTTATTTACTCACTGCGTTGCTTTTGTCATACGTGATGGATCCTCCAGACAGTGTGAAGTAACGTGTTTTCCAGCGTTTGAAAAACTTCCACTTGCCTTTCTTCTCTTTCAGCTGACCCTGCATAGATGTGAGAAATTGTTTGTAAGTCAAAAGAAATCAAACAGAAAGTATCTCATTGTTTTGTTGAATTAACTTTTTACTTGAGCAGGAACCCTTTTCAGCTCAACCACGCTGAAACAAATGCAAGAACTAGTGTATAACTTGCCCGAAACAGGTTGGAACAAAAGGCAGCTCTAGAAATCAACTTGACTTAAACTGTCTAGACATGACTCTTGGCAAAAGAAATGAAAATTTCAGAATCATCAAACAAAGGATATTGAGTATTAGACACGATTGAGTGGTCTGTTTTATTTGATCAGCCAGCAAGGTGGCCAGCTACATCATCAGCAAGAACTTGAGCGAGATTAACCATTGCTGTGTCCTGGGACAACAGGTAAGGCTCAGTGAGAACTTTTTAACAAAAAGCTGTAACTGGTCATGAAAATGTTTGAATTATTGGTTTTTTTATTCAACAAAACAAAACAAGTGTTTTACGGGGCTCGCAACTGCATAAGGTCATATGAGCGCACGCAACACATGAGGCCTTTTCAGTTTGGATGGAATTAATTCTTAATTTGGCGGCCGAAGCCTACTCTTATTGATTTTAGGACCACCAAGGAATCTTTAATGTGCACAACTTGCATATGGGATCTCCGAGATTTTTTCGGCCTTTTTGAGTAGGCTAGGCATTTGATCTTACCTACCCTAAGATCAGGGGTGTAGCTGAAAGACATCAGTAATGAGCCAGGAGAGGTACAATTGACAGACAGCAGAAAGAGCCAGGGGCTCAGAGGAGGGGGCAAAGGGGGGGAGGGGGGGGGGTGCAGAAAACAGATGGCAGAACATGATTAGATAGCAGGAAAGGAGGTGAAAGGAGAAGATTTTAGAGAAGAAATTTTCTGTCGATGTCGGGTTTCAAACCCGAGACCTTTAGAGTGAGAGGCCAACACTATACCTTTCGACCACAAGAGCCCCCTTGAATTATTGATATAGAGGACAATTTCCAGCAGTATCAATACAATTTTGGTCATGTAAGAGCCAAAAAAAGATCTTTGAAGAGTAAATAGGAAGTAACAAGATATTAACTACATGCACAATGCAATACAATATAATGTCGAAAGAACACATGCACCTACTACTTTTATATACACCCAAAAAATTTCAAATCCCCTCCATTTAAATAGAGATGAAAGTTTTTTTTTCTTTTCCCATTAAAAAATTCTTTTGTTTTTCTATGTTTCATTCAAACAGCACCAGAATTTACGGCATGACTTACAGCAATTTCTGGGTATCCATCGTTGAGCAGCTCTGAGAGTTTTTCTGGGTGGTTACACAGGAAGCAGGCCCAATGTGCCACAGCCGCATTCAGCTCAAACACGTCAAAGTAACGCATCTGATGGAGCTCCTGTAGGAGGCCAAGCTGGTCCTGCACGTACAAAACAGACAGGAGAAACAAAGAAAACAGTTTATGGATCTGATAATATTATCATGTACACAACTAATGGAGTTCACAAAAAAGTGAGCGTATTTTGTCCAAAAATGCATATATGCATCTTTCTTCTCTCGTAATAAACAGTCATTTATTCAAATGTATGTAACTAAAAGCAGAACAAAATTTTCACAGCCTTGATAAAAATTAGGGTCCATATATCACTGACAGACGATTTTTTGTCATTTCAGCACTTTTTTTTCTGTCTCATTCAAAACGTAAAAATGAAAAGAAAAGTACTCCCCTGACTTCAGTATATGTCTAATAATTTCACTTCTATAATAGGTACACATACATAACTTTCAGCATTTCTTTGCATTACTTGAGGCAACCTACCTCGGAAGTTTGAATGCAAGATGAATAAGGTGAAGAAATGCAGCTTCCTATCATCCACACTTGTCAAAAAAAAATTCACTACTTAACACTGATAACTTCAACAAAATAACCAGGCAGGTAACAACGTCTGTTGTTTTTTTTAGTATCAAGAGCAGAAACTCATGCCGTGGGTACATTAATGACTATTACCATAAAAGTACAAGGATATACCTTAAGTTGAAAAGTACCAAACATTCAGTCAGCCCAGCTAGGGCAGCGACAGGGAGCAAACCCCCTTGACCATGAAGTGGTAAGGCACTTGGCAGGGAAACCCATGCCGCAACAAAAATTCCACTGCAGGTGCGCCGAGTTACAGGATTTTTATTACCGAAGGCTAAAAATGTACCACCGATACACCATTCAAAGCTCTATAGTTCTCAACCAATGAAAAAACGGTATTTACTCATCGACCTTTCCGCAAGCATTGGAAAGCTTGGGTGTCAGTTGTTGAAACAGCTGACTTCACGTTCTGACCGGGAGGGCTTCCTTTCCACGTCGATTTTTCAGCACAAAATGAACAAACATGCAGACAACACATTCCAAAATACTGAATAAACACTGAACTTTTTCATGGTGCACAGTATCTGGTGTGTTATAGAAACAGAGAGGAAAAAACCCACTGATCTGATTTACCCTGATTTCGATGAATCCACCTACTCAGAAGACTGCAAGTTGGCTTACATGCTGTCATCATGCAACCGAGAACAAAGAAGTCGAAACTTGACCCAGCGTCATCTGAATTGTATTCAACTATGATACAAGCTGAGTTCACGGAGCACCCACCTTCTGTGTGGGGAAGGACGAAGTAACCAGTGTGAGAAAGTTACTGGTTGTCTCCCCTTTCAAGGCGTCCCAGCAAGTCTTGAGAGAGCTCACATTTGAATCCCTCTGGCTCAAGGCAAAACGAGACTGAGCCTGTGTAGTATCCAAAAAAAAATAAATGACATTGTCATTGCAGTTCTTTAAAAGACTAAGAACAAAGATAAGAAAAATTTATGACGAAATAAGTTAAGACAAGACAAGATGAGATAAAATGTATTTTACTGGATCTGCATTGAAAGAAAATAACAGATTAACAGTGTGCTTTCACCAGCTTCTACGACACAAAATGTACACATAATGTACGGAATCATATCAAAACATCACACACATGCACTCTCTCTCTCCCATCTATCTGTTCCCTCTCTCCTCCCCTCGCCCCTTTCATCTCTCTATTTGTCCACTCTCCTCTTCCCCCCACCCCCCTTTTTCCTCTCCTTTCCTCTTCACCCGACCCTTTATTTTCTCTCCTTTCTCCACTGCTCTTTTTTCTCTCCTCTCCCCTATCTGTCTCTTTTTATTTCTCCTCTCTCCCCCCCTCTTTTCTATAACTATTCTAAGAGCACAGCCTTCACTAGCGGTCAGGATGATTGGCTGACCTGCACAGACAGGAACATGAGGTGTAGCCAGAGTTTGGGCAGGCGGGTGTTGAGGGTGAAGTGGGAGCCGCTGTAGAGACACTGGTCCGACTGGTGGCCACACTCAAAGTGAAGCTTGAGATAACGTTTGTGCTTACCATCTGTCCAAGACACACAACATGGATTGAGTGTTAGGACAAGATTAGATAATTCAAGATAAGCTTGAATGGGAAGAGATAAGATGACATAAGATTAGTGAAGATATCATCAGATAAGATAAACTAAAATATTATCATCCAAGATAAAATAAGATAACAACAGATAAGGCAATGTAAGCTAAAATTACATTAGTGAAGATAAGGCAAGCTTTTTCTTTGGTAAGTGTTTTACAATGCTCGCAACTGCATACGGTCATATGAGAGCCCGGGACACACCTAATATTTTCAGTTGGTAGGAAATTTTGAATTTTGCCCAGGTGGCGGTCGAAGCCTACTCTAATCGATTTTAGACCACCAAGGGATCTTTAACGTGCGAAACCTGCAGACTGGCCCTCCGGAATTTTTAGTCCTTGTCCGAGAAGGCTAAGTGTAGATCTTTCCTACCATAAGACCAGGGGTGTGGCAGAAAGACAGCAGTAAGTAGGAGCCAAGGAGTAACAGTAGAAAGGCAGCAGAAAGAGTCAAGAGCGCAGAAAGGGCAAAGGAGTTGAGGGGGAGGGGGCAGAAAGAGGAGACGAAAGTAGATGACAGAGCATTAGTCGAGAGAAGGAAAGAAAGTGAAAGGAGACAATTTTAGAGAAGAAAATGTTTCCGTCACTGCCCGGATTCGAACCCGGGACCTTTGAATGACAGGCCAACACCTTAACCTCTAGGCCAAAGAGAGCCCCCTAAGGCAAGCTAAGACAACATAAAGTAAAATAAGACAAAATAAGAAAAGGCAGCTTTAAATGAAACATGCTAAGAAAAGACAAGATAAGATAGGATGTACTTAGAAGAAATAAACAGTGAGCTCTCTCCAGCTTCTGGGACACAGAAAAAACAAACAAAGCATTATATCAATACATCAGTCTCCAGTCTCTCACTCTCCCCCCCCCCCGGTCTTTTCTCTCTCTTTCTCTCTCTCTCTCTCTTTCTCTTTTTCATGTTAATTAAAGACACCAGAGACCACCAGTACTCACTGACTACACTGCACTTGGCAGGCAGGGGTATGGTAGCATTGAGTTTGCTGATAAAGTTCTTGATCTTAGCAAAATGCTTCTCACAGAATAACTGCACACCATCTCGAACAGTCTGGCCCTGCAGGAAAAGTTCTCAAGTAAAGTACATAATCAAATGATGACGAAAACTAAATAACATGAAAGTGACACTCCATCCACACCAGACAATTGTTGACTAATATATATATTTTTTTTATAGTAGAGTGTTTTACGGCGCTCGCAACTGCACAGGTCATACGAGCGCGCGGGACACACCTAATATTTTCAGTTGGTAGGAAATTTTGAATTTTGCCCGGGTGGTGGCTGAAGCCTACTCTTATCGATTTTAAACCACCAAGGGATTTTTAACGTGCGCAACTTGCACACGGGTCCTCCGAGATTTTTCGCCCTTGTCCGAGAAGGCTAGGTGTAGATCTTTCCTACCAGAAGATCAGGGGTGTGGCAGAAAGACAGCAGTGAGAAGGAGACAGGGAGTAGCAGTAGAAACGCTGCAGAAAGAATCAGGAGCCCAGAGGAAGGGGCAAAGGAGGTGACGGGGTGAGGGCAGAAAGTGGAGACGAAAGCAGATGACAGAACATTGCCAGAGAGCAGGAAATGAGGTGAAAGGAGACAAATTTAGAGAAGAAAATTTTTCGGTCGCTACCCGGATTCGAACCCGGGACCTTTTGAGTGAGAGGCCAACACCTTAACCTCTAGGCCACGAGAGCCCCCTTTTTGTTGACTAAGAGAGCATGTGTCAGTAAATGCAGTCGAACCTTCCCTAATGGCCACCTGAAAAAGACAATCACCTGTACAAATGGCAACTTCCCATTCCCCTCTTGTGTTTTTTTATTTTATATGACACTTTATAATAATAACAGAGATGCCAACCACAGAAAACCGAAATGAGTATTGGGAAATATGAAAATGTGTATTTTCAGGGGAAAATGTGTACTCCCCACGACCGACCGATCAACCAGTAATAATAAAATGTTCAGGGTGTCCAGCAATATTTCCTGAAAAAAAATTACTAGCTCACCAGCTCGAAAAAAGTAGCACACACGCGTACAATATACATGTATCCATTCAACAACATGTCAGTGTTCAATGTCGTACTGGGGTTTTGTTTGACTTAAGAATTTCAGTCTATTATATAATATTTTCCTCTCATTATTATTTAAAAAATAAATCCTGCTTTGAGAGTTTGGAAGGGCCTAGAACAAGAATTTTGACTATCAAGAACGAGTCTGGGTGTCATGATTCATATTATGAACTGACAGACTCAAATTATTGCTCAAACTCAGAGAAAAGCAATAACTTGAATGGCTCAAGTAGACCCATGCACTGTGAGAGGTGTAACAACTGTGGACGGGCAAGATGCAGTGACACTGAAAATCTGCCAGTCTTGAACAGAAAGCTACAACATACACTGTAGGTATAATTTACTATCACCCATCCAAGTAGATGTAGGTATAATTTATTATCACCCATCTAAGTAGGTATAATTACTTTCACCCATCCAATGAAACGTGAACACTTTACTTCAATAACACAGACTTGCAAAGTATGAGGGGTCCCGATTCCGCACACGGCCTGCACCAACGAGCGCTTTGCAGAAAGCTCTAATCAAAATTCTGAAATGTGCTTCCAAGTTTTTGTCCTCTAGTGTTGCCTAACACCCCTCCCCCCCCGGATAGTATCTTAAACCCCCCAAAAAATCAATAATCTCCTCCCCTATTCCGTAGTCATATACTTCGCAACGCCGTTACTCCCACCAAAGACGGTCTTTACTCACACGATGCCGCATTTATTTATGATGCGTATAAGCGCAGGTTCAGTGACCGGTCACGATGGCCAGCAAAACAATCTCTAAATCGGACGACGATTGTATTTTATTTTTTTTCCACAAGTGACAGCACAGAGACAGGTCCGAGTATTTATTACATCTTATTTGAACGGCCACATTGTGTTTATACTGCACAACCTGCATGCCACAAATGTTGCGTTATCATCAGACAACTGCTGGCAAACTTCTCGGTGGTAACGAAAGCGAAAGTAGATCTTGATTTTCCCGATTGAGCCTCGGTCACGCTGTCACATACGCTTCCGCCTGCCGCCATAGCTGCCTATTTGCGTGAAAGTGAAACGTATTCTCTGGACGGGGAAAAGCTGAACGAATATAATATCACGATCGCGACTGACAAAAATGAACTTACTGACCACATCGGACTTGGTTTTCAAATATTCCAGTTCTGCGATACTGATACTATTTTGACAAAAGATGGGACTTGAGATAATTAGGATTACTCGCCCAAGCTGAATCTCGTATATTTTTCGCATTCCAGGATGCGTATTTTTTCATGAAAAGTCGTATTCACGTATTTTCGGCAAAAAATCGTACTAAAATATGTAAAATCGTACTGGTTGGCATCTCTGCAATAATAATAATAATTGCATATAGCGCATATCCATGCTCAAGAGCATGCTCTATGTGCTTTACAACTATTTAGATGTAAGATGTACACCTATCTTAGAGTGCTACTCTTCTCCATGACAAACTGCTAATTACATATTTGTATATACATACTGCTCTCATGTAACACCTCTAATCTTCAGCACTTATGTGACCTAACCGTATTTCAAGTACCGTAAAACTTTTACTAGAACTAAAAGCTAAAAGTTTTGACTGTATCATGATATTGCAATACCAAGAAGAGACAGAAACAGGATGCTAATATCGAGGTTCAGTTGTTAGTAAACAGTCACCCTTTTAGCTTTCGTCAAGACATGATTTATATGGTTGCTTCCCGCTTAGTCAGGAACATGTGTATAAGTGCCAACAATGATAAACAAAAAAAAAAATTCATTTTGGCCAGAGTCTGCAAATCACATGAAATTCATAACTTTATTAGATTTACTAAGACTATAATAAAAGACTTCGGCTATTATCACACCATGTTCACAATAAACAAAAATTTTGAGGTTGGTTTCAGTATATCAGTCAGAGACTGTGAGAGGCAACAGTAATGAATCAAAAGAACTTGATGCAAAATACAAATCAGAAGCCAACACACAGAATTCTTCTATTTGTATTTAAAAACTAAACATTGGAGAGCATACGTAGGTGAACTGACACTATTATCTCCTTTTTTTGACATTTCTTTCCCTACCTCAAGCCTCTCTCTCTCTCCCTCCCCTTCCTCTCTCTGTCTCTCTCTCTCTCCCAACCTTGTAAAGTCAACATTTTACAACATTCATTCCTTCACCACAACAATAAGTGGTCTGTAAAGACTCTGCATGATACAACCTGATGCAAGAAAAAATAGAAGAACAGACCACACCAGAGCACCCACCAACTACCCGCCTTCACGATGACATAAAATAGAGTGGTGTATGAACCCCAATAGATTATGATTAAAACTAACACAAGAAAAAAGTCAAAGAAGCAGACAACACCACAGTGCCTACCAATCACCTGCCTTCACGATGACATTAGGTGGCCTGTAAGGATCTACATGACAGTGTCCACAGCCACTGGCTTTTACAACGACAAATTTACCTGTGGTGAGAGGTCGGTAGACGTGCCGATAGTGGTATGAGAGGTCACTTCCTGAGCCCCGCCATAGGCCTGGTCAGAGGACAGACTGAAAAACACACAAGAAGACACATCACAAGATACACAGCTAGATATAACTTACTTTTCAAGAAACAAAATGTCCTTCTATCACATTCCCAAATGATACTGCAAATATTTACATGACAATTTCTGACGTTTTGCTTATTGTAAATATTTAGTTCTCTTGTTGACACATTAAACTTCATTTAGAAGACAGGCTGCAGTGATCTTGTCTTTGAGGGCTAACACGTCCTGAAAGGAATACAGAAGGAGATACTCAATAAAAAAAACTCCCCCACAAGTGAGAATGAAACTCATATCTCCTGCATGCAATTATGAGCTGACTGCCTAACCATTAAAAGGCAGACATAGGTATTTGGTAATTGGTAGCCTACATATGGAATGTGTTGATAATATTGACATGCTTGTAACAGGCTGCAATGCTGTCCCAAAGGGACTGAAATCATACATTGAACAGAAAAGTCTGGCTAAAGAGGATATAAATGAAGCTGTTCAAGTCTTCAGGGGAACTCATGACTATAAATAAACACTCTACCTTTTAACTTTTTATTGTAAATGTTTTATGCTCCCATCGGCACAATTTAAATAATTTAGGCTTTTCCTTTTCACATCAAGAAACAGAAGCATACAAACATACCTGATGACAACAGTGCTACAGGGCAAAAAGGCAAAGAGTAATAAGGGAAGACCTGCAACGTGACACACTGAAAGTGTCAAATCTGACAGTGGTCTACACCTTTATGAAATACTGCATCAAAGCAGAGAACAGATAAGATGGATGCCTGTTGTAGCAGGGAATGGGGCACCAACGGATGAAACCAGCTAAGGTAACAGGTGCCCTAGACATTTATGAAAAAATCCTACTATTCAATGGGACAACTTCCTCCCTCAAATGTACATATTTAGGATTTTTCTCATTTCACTTTAACATTATAAAATTTCTGGACTACTACTCACTGGGACAACTTCCTTCCGAAATTGAAAATAAATTTTGTTCATTTAGGAGGGGGGCTTTCCACTTTCCACTATGAAACTATCTAGTGTCCAACTCACTGGGACAACTTGACCAAGCTCTGCTGACTGGAGCCACCACTAGGGGCCAAAGCCGTGCTCTTGACCGACACAGTACCGCTAGGGTGGGTGGCATTGGGTGGGTTGCCCACGGTGATGATGGTCACTGTGCCCTCCGTCTGGCTGGACACTGATCGTGTCTGTTTGGCCGGTGCCTGCTCCGTGCTGACCCCTGCAGCTTCCTCCTCCTCTGAGCGGGCGAAGGGTGAGGGAGACTTGTGGCGGGGCGGACTTTCCTCCTGGACCACACTAGGACTTGAAGGAGAGTTGCTGCTGACCAGGGAGTCAAAGTTTCAGTTTGAATACCATGAAGCTAATGCTCATTTAGTTTTGTTTCAGGAAAGAGATGCACATTGACACAAGAACAGTTAGTTTTGTTTCAGCAAAGAGATGCACATTGACACAAGAACAGTTAGTTTTGTTTCAGCAAAGAGATGCACATTGACACAAGAACAGTTAGTTTTGTTTGAGTAAAGAGATGCACATTGACACAAGAACAGTTAGTTTTGTTTCAGCAAAGAGATGCACATTGACACAAGAACAGTTAGTTTTGTTTCAGCAAAGAGATGCACATTGACACAAGAACAGTTAGTTTTGTTTCAGCAAAGAGATGCACATTGACACAAGAACAGTTAGTTTTGTTTCAGCAAAGAGATGCACATTGACACAAGAACAGTTAGTTTTGTTTCAGCAAAGAGATGCACATTGACACAAGAACAGTTAGTTTTGTTTCAGCAAAGAGAAGCACATTGACACAAGAACAGTTAGTTTTGTTTCAGCAAAGAGAAGCCCATCAACAACATGAAGGTACCTAATTTAGCACAGAAACAAAGCAAGACAAGCAAAACACTAGAGGGAAAGAAATGAAGCATGACTTACAAGCCACACCCACGGGGGGATGAGCCAAGGTAGACAGGACCTCTTAGTTTTTTTATTTTTTATTTCACTTTCTTTGAGACTTTGATTACCCAAGAACAGTATAAGGTAAGAAATTTTGTTTCTTTTGCTTTTGTATTTGTATGGGTTTTGGACTCCATTATACATATCCCCCCCCTCTCCCCCCCTGTCGTTATTTCTCCCTGCCTCCATTCCATATATATCTTTCTTTCTCCCTCTTCTCTTTCTCAAAAGAGCATAAAATATGCTCATATGGTTTATTTCAAAATTAGTGGGAGACCCCTCCTTAGAGTAACCAAGCCAATGGGTCTATCTGTTCTTGTAGCAACAAACATTGTTTTCTCCTCTTCACTCAGCAAGGATAAATATTGCTTTGTCCTCTTCACTCAGCAAACAATGGCCTCCCATTTACTTTTACTTTTACCCCCAAAAATTGTTCCTGTCTTGAAAATTTGAAACTGATGATAAAATAAATCTATAATATTGTAGCGGTCTGGCAGTGAGTGAGTGGTTGAGAAGTATACAGTGTGTGTGTGCGTGTGTGTGTGTGTGTGTGAGTGTGTGAGCGAGAGAGAGAGAGAGAGAGAGAGAGAGAGAGAGAGAGAGAGAGAGAGAGAGTTTTAGTAGAGGTTTTACGGCGCTCACAACTGCATTAGGTCATATGAGCGCCAGAAGATTAGAGGTGTTACAAGAGAGTAACAAAAATAAAAAAATAAAAAAGAAGAAGGGGAGATAAGGACGATAGACGTTTGATAGGAAAGAAGAAGCAAACCACACCAGAGCACCCGCCAACGACCCACACAGAGAGAAAGAGTTCAGAGAGAGAGAGAGAGAGAGATAGAGAGAGAGAGAGAGAGAGAGAGAGAGAGAGAGAGAGAGAGAGAGAGAGAGGGAGAGAGAGAGAGAGAGAGAGAGAGAGAGACAGACAGACAGACAGACAGACAGACAGACAGACAGACAGATGCTGATGAAAGCACACTGCTAATTACATTTTTGTATAACATACTGACCGGCATAAATAAAGCGAAAAAGTAACACAAAGTGTAGAAAACAAAAATGAGTATTTCTGTGAGTTGTTTTCATTTGTCTCTATTCACAATGTGTTCTTGTGGCTCGATTTAAAACACACAACAGCTCATTTGCCGCTTATGCATCAAACAATATAACAAAGCAACCCTCTCAAAGGTACGCAGTTAAAACGCGAATTGAATCGTGAATTTTTGCTCACATGTTGAGTTGGTCTGGCCTATAAATTCTCTGCCCTAAAATGTTTGATTGTGTGTTGCACAGTCCGACTATCAAGATGCCAAGATTATCTGCAGAAAATCGAGAAAGAACTACTGGACGTCTGCAAGCCGGCGAGAGCCCTCAGCAGGTGGCAACAGTCCTGGGAGTGCATGCCAGAACTATCTACCGCCTGCAAAACAGATTCCAGGCAATCAACTCCACAACAGATCTCCAAAGAAGCGGAAGACCTTGACTGACAACAGCTGCCCAAGACCGCTTCTTCGTGTGTCAGCATCACCGAGATCCACGGTTGTCTGCCTCCGAGACTGCCCAGAACACCTTAGGAACGCACGGTAGAGCCATGAGTGACCGCACCATACGCCGCCGACTTGTGGCCAGGGGGCTGCGTTGTCGGCATCCGGAGCAGAGAGCACCCCTGAACGTCCATCATCGACGAGCTCGTCTCCAGTGGGCTCAGAACCACATTAACTGGCGTCATCGACAGTGGCAGCGTGTGATCTTCAGTGACAAGAGTCGCTTCTGCATCAATCCTGACAATAAACAGGTCCGAATTTGGCACTGCCCCAGACAATGCTACTCTGACGAGAACATCTGGGAGAGAGACCTGTGGGGAGGTCAAAGCGTGATGATATGGGGTGCAATCGGTATCAATCAAAGACTGGGCTCCATAATCTTCCAAAATTTAGGACATGGACGTGGCAACAGAGGGATGGCACAGCACTACATCAACCAAGTCCTGCAGCCCCATGTTGCTCCATTTTTCCAGAGACATCAAAACCACCTCTTTCAGCAGGATAACGCCCGGCCTCATACAGCACGTGTTACCCAGCAGTTCCTGGTGCAGAACAACACACCCACCATGCCTCACCCACCCCGATCACCAGATGTGAACCCAATAGAACACCTTTGTGACATCCTTCAGAGGCGTCTCAACCAACTCCAGCCCAGACCCCGGACAGCTGCACAACTGGGTGCTGCTATTCTTCAGGAATGAGTGCAGGTCCCAACAGCCAAATCAATTGCTTGGTCCACTCTATGCACTGCTATCATCAACGCTAATGGGGGCCATACCAGATACAGACTGGAACTTAAGCCCCAAGGTCAAGGTCATTAGTCATTGATGCCGAATAACAAAATCTGTCCCCAAGCAAATCCCCAACTCTTAAGCATTGTTTTGTGCATTTTGAGACACCTGAAACCTGTTTCTCTACATAAAAATATTCCTTCAATTTACTCTCCTCTTCTTGTGTCATGTGAATTCGCATTACTTTTGCCGGTAAGTATGTATTGCTCTCGTGTAACACCTCTAATCTTCATCACTTATATGACCTAACTGTATTTCAAGTGCTGTAAAACTCTTACTAAAACTAAAAACTAATTACAATCAACTTCTTCTGATAGAGTGGACTGCTAAAGTGTATTTTATCTATTTGAATATTGAGGGATTCGCCAGAAATAAAACTCAAAAGCAATAAAGCCATAGCACTGAAATCTGATTCTCTTTTCACTAATAAAAAACAAACAAAACAGTTGAAAACTTTCTGGGGAATGCTGTATCGACTTTAATAATAATATTGCTCGTTCTGTGTTCATCCTTTCTCTTCAATTTTGTTGGTTTTGTTTTGTTTTCTTATCATGGCCTCAAAACCCAAAACCTAAGAGGCTGAAAAATAGGTACAGGTTGAAGGTACACTTTCAAAAACGTTCCTCATCACACTGACAATAGTGACTGCTAAAAGAACACTAAAAAGCCATTTTATACATATACAACGAACCTGCTTGAGTGAAAATCGGTCAAAGACAATCACTTGTACAAACGGTATTTCCCCACTTGCACTTTCCCTAATGGAGGAATCAGGTGCAAGTCACTTTTGGGGCATAAGGAGTTATTGGTATCATCTTAAAGCCTGTTCATTTGCCTAATATTTGATGAAAGAAGCAATCTATCTTGAACAGAAATTGAGATATTTGTAATAAAAGGAGGTGGGGGTCACCTGATGTCCAAGGTACAATTAGCGAGAAAATGGCTGCCAAGGTTTGGTGATTTCCAAAGATTAAGTGCCCCTGAAAACTGCAAATATTTTGTGCCTCTCATCAATGTTTTTCAGTAAACAGTAAAATGCATGCAGTTATATGTTTTTGAATGGATATAAAACATGTTGAGCCAAAAATAAAAAATAAAATCGATTAAAATTGCCCAATGGATGGAAAAATGTCTGTTTCTTCGATTTCAATATTTGACCAGCACTTGATTCCACCATGCTGTGGCACATATTATAATGACACTGTCCAAGAGGATCACCTGTCTAAGATGACGGCCTTTCCTCCTTGACAATAGGTGATTGTCTCGGACAGGTTCAACAGTGTGTGTGTGTTTTTGTGTGTGTGTGTGTGTGCGTGTGTGGGTGTGTATGTGGTGTGTGTGTGAGTAAATAAAACAGGAAAAAATCTGTTTCATCTAAGCAGAAGTAGTCTTCACGAACTCAGCTACTGTAATGAAAAATACAGGGTGATCCCTCCAAAAAACTACCTTTTTTTCTGAATATCTCGGACAAAATTTGTACTAGAATGTTGTCATTTGGAACAGATAATATTCATTCAAAAGGAATTTGTTTGACATAAAGTTCATAAAGAAAAAACTTATTTTCGAAAAAGGAAATGGCTTTTATAAAACCACCCATAAATATAAAAAGAACCAATTTAAAAGATCTTGTAAAGAATGTCTGGAACGAATGGTCGTTTTTTTTTTCCTTTCCTTTTATTTTTAAATGCTAATCTTTCCATCCCTGTAACTTTTGAACAACATTTCTTTTCTCCTACAGAGGTTTTTAAAATTTTAATTTTTAATTCTGGAATTCCGAGAACAATATGGTCTATATGTCCTCCTTTGGACTCGACACATTTTAACGCGTCATTCATAATGTTCAGTAGAGGCCAATCACAAGGATCCACTCAACCATGAGTACTCAAAGCCACTTAATGCACTGTACACCTAACAGGATGGAGCTGTTTCTAGAGACAATGGGGGGGGGGTTGCGGAAATAGTATTTGTGGAGTTGATATAACCTGAAAAGTGAATGTGGGCTTTGCAAAGGAACCAAATGTCAAAGAGGAAATGTTCACGCTTT